CTGGTCATCCTAGCTATTGTTATTAAGGTAACAATCACCATAACTGGCGGCAGCAGAGCAGCAAAAACACAAGGGCTTACCGTGAAACAATGTGTACATGCATTATAGTATATCGATTATGCCGAAGAAGGCGGACGAACAGATGAACAGGAATTGAATTAGCAACGCGTCGGCCTAGAGGACATCTAATAGGCTCAGTGCCTTTCTGAACCAGGATTTATCGCGCAACACACTAAAGCTACTGCAGCTGCCACTATAGACTCTCGGGCTTATACACTGATTGAAAAGCCACTCTGGGGCTACTGGCATCGTCTTCCTTCAATCAACGACACGAAAATGCAACAGCGAAGTAGTGACACACAGGCACTGGGCAAAAAAGACTCCATAAAAATTAGGAGACGGGAAATTTTGCTGCCATTACTGTTGTAAATCGTATTCTGTTTTATTGTTTCTGTTGCTGTGATTCGCGATGCTCGTGCTACTGTTATCTCTCATTGAATCGCTCAGCGATCATTCACCATATAATAACAATAATATATTTGTGGTACTATACACTTCAGAACGAGCAGCTTCAGCGCTACCGAATCCTTTATTGGCCGCCATATTTTCCAGCAGCCCAAAGGTGACTGCTTGCAATAGTTCGACCTTCTAATCTAAGCTTAAAAACCGGGCATGGCATTAAAAAAAGAAGAAAAGTAAAGCGAATGAAAGCCGCAATAAAAAAAAGGATGATTGGGAAAAAATTAAAACAAATAATTATTTTCTTAGTGGATGAGAGGTTTATAGAAGGCTATCATCATGCTTCAGTGAGAGAAATATACGATAATATTCGCAAGACAAACAACTACAATACTAAATTGTAGCCGCGTAAGGGCGAAAAATATAATTCACATATCTTAATGTCTATACGATGGGGCACATGAGTAGCATTCTAGGGACGGAAGCTTGCTCGATCCAAGGCCAGCTTACGTAGTTGAAGCTCGAAGAATAATCCTAACCAATCTCTAGTAATATAAGGTGGAAATCAAGCTAGAAACTAGGAAGATGCTATTTTGCAGTAGGTCCGAGACCATCTGTGGCTAGGGTTTACTAGGTTTTGCAAAAGATTTGTTCGGCTAAATCGTAAATGCCGCTTGCCCAATGAACGGCTTTACCATTCACTTTATGAATGACTCTCACTCAATTTTGAGTCTGTTCGTGTTGTAGATGTTGCCACCCAAACGAATAGAAACAACCTCTTCTGTTTATGCACAGCGCAAAGATAAGAAGTGGACAATGTGACGAAGAAGGGTCTGGGGAAGGATCTGCGATCTGCACGATTCGAATATGTTTCAACAAAGGCTATTGAATGCCGATCAAGTAGAGGTTTGTCAAACGTTGTTGGCGCATGAGGAATGAAAAACTGGATACATATGGGGCCAGAGCGTCGAAGTTGTGGGAAACTGCCTGTTCCAGTTTGTCACGGTGGGCCGAGACTCCGGAGTAGGTCATGACCGACGCTGACGCCAGCAGTAACAACTACAACAAAGACAGCCATGATACGAAGCCATCAGATAGATAATCACAATATGACAACAAATCAGATTATGTATGCAAGTGTGTACCCCCGTAGGTTTTGTCTAATAGAAGTTACACATTTGACTATTATATAAAAACAATAGGTTCAGACCTGGTTGGACTTGGCAGGCGTATGAACGTACTGCACGGTCACAGTTAAGGCAGTAGCGAACTATTGTCTCCCGCACTATAGAGAATTTTCAAATGCTAGAAAATTAGCCATCATGAACCGACAGCTTCAAAAAGTAATTTGTCAGCCTGAAAAAAATGTTTGTTCAATGCTGGATCTTGTCTCTAGGATGATAGAGATACGTCCGGCCTCTGAGATGTTGTGTCATTACGCCAAGTTGTTAGGGGCCCACGAAGTGACGCTGACTGCCTAGCAACGGCATTACCAGCGCAGCAGGTTAGGTCAATCGAATTGTAGCAGTGACAGGTATACTGGATGGGACAAGTCACCTGACCCAGATCGACTATTTTATATATTGCTGCTAGTATTGCTAATACTAGTTAACTACTGCTGTCTGTAATTCATTCGACGAAGTTCATCCTCGTTCCACGTTTTCCTCTTTCCTCCCTTCCGTCGTTTCTAGTTAGTCGCCATCGTTTAGTACATTGCCAAACCATATATTATCCGCATATCCTCTCTGTTCTCTCGTACAAATTCGCGTTTACACCCAACGGAGACGTCAGAGAAGCAGCAACCGTAACGTTTGCTTTACTGGTGGTACCGATAATCACCGTCATAGCCATTGCAGCCCCTGCTGTGGGCGCGATTTGTTGGGCGCCACCTAAAGAGCATCGAGCCAGTGGGCGCTGTGCGCTGTGGTGACCGATAGCCATCAGCTGTATTTCACTAATGAACGGATTTACTGCGAAACGAATTCGCTCCCGACAAGGATGATTTTGCTGGCATCGGATGCCTCTGCTACCGCTACTGCCGAGAGCTCCGATTCGTTGTATAGATAAAAAAACAATTTTTTGCGAACAATCATTCAGATAGGTAGCCAGACCCGAAAAGGCGGAGATAACGCTGAAAGAAGTAATGACAATGTCCAAGTTCAAGCTAAACGCTTGATCGTCCTTGTATTTCGACTAATCGGTTCAATGGGATGCCGAGATCTGCAACCTGTCAATGATTATTCTTATTATCGCCAAGGATACTTGAGCAAGTGTTGGGCAAACAGTGTTTATATTACAATAAAATAGACTTTATCAATTCACTGGAGTTATAGTGCCGCTATTATATATATCGTTTTATTTTTTTACAATACAAGAACTTCGATTCATTATTAACAAGTGAATGAAGATTCGCTTGGTGGAATTCACCGGCGTATTGCTTTTATATATATATTCTATGTAAGAGGATGGTGAAGTCTTGGAAACTGTGTCTAGTTGGCGTAAAACAGCTTGTAATAAACAGTCCTCACGGATTATCATGCAATCTTCAGGCGTTATAAAGGGGCGAAAATGATTTCAACCTGACTGCGAAGGGCTATAGCTGAGGGAAGCGCTAGAACGGAGCCATGGCCTGACATTCTGAATCATCTATATCTCACTAAACTGGCAATATTAGACATTGACACGGCTATATTTATATATATAGTTGATATTTACTAGTAGCTGCTACTTTTTCATGTATTTAAAGATGTACATTTAATTTAAAGAGGTAACTACATTTCCGTTTTATTGTCCAACTCGAAAAAGCCATTACTATAAGATTTGTCTATCACAATATATATAAATAAATAACAATGTCATTTGGTTGAATGTCACATATTCCTAACTACGTTTTCAATATGACCCACCTGATTACGTAGCTAGCGTACAATTTTCGTAGATCTATTCGGCCTACAGGCGCTTATTTGACTATAACAGTACTCAGTATTGACTAAAATGTCTCAAATGGCTTTTTTGTTTGCAAACCCGATAATCATATCAACGGTATTTATTGACTTCTTTTAAATTGGGTCGGGTCCCTGGGCTTGAGAACATTGAATCGTGCTTTTGGTCTTAGTAATCTACGTTTATGCTCGTATGCAACCGAAACGACCCGCCCAATTCGTTTGTCGCTCCCTAGCTTCTATATTGCCTTTTATATATATATACATATGAGATAATATAGCATTTCTAGCTTATTAGTATCGAGTTAGCTTATCATCCTCCAACAGGTCGCGACCGCGGCCATCATTACGGTCGGTGGCCTGGCTTTATCTTTTAACATCCACTGTTCATGTCGGTCCATCCTGATGTGAATTCACCAAACACCATCTGCCGCTTGTCTTTTGAGTCTACCGATAAAATAGAGTAACCTGTTCTATCCTGATCTTGTCGCAGTCTATCCAAGTGGGTCAGTTTTCATTTTGTTCGAGATGGAGGAACAAAAAGGCCTACTAGGTTGCGTCATCAGCCTAACGGATCAGGCATATGCATAGCTGAATTGGAGAAGGTTGCTACACCTTTTCACGGCGGCCCTGCTGGGTTGTGCCGACCCGAGGGTTGATGCTGGCTCATTTTAGTGTTATGTAGTCGGAAATCGTTGCCTATTGTCGTATCAAGGGTTTATAGACTAAGTAATATACAATAAAGTCGTGACTTACGGCCGAACTAACAACTGCCAGCTTCCTGGCACTTAATTCGTATCTAATCTTTCGTTCGACCGGCTACCAGCTAACATATTGGGCTATAGCTTTCTCCAACTATAAGACATCTCGCGAACGAAGCCTTAAATTACCCTAACAATATGTAAATATTTCACCCCGAAGGACTCATGTGTAGTATAATATAGCGGCTCATAAAATACGGTCATATTGACAACTTACAATCATTTGACGAACTTTTTATAGCAGTCTCGAGTTCAGCTGATGATAGCAATAATTATCTAATATCACAGAAATATACTATATAATAATAAGTATATTATTATATAGTATATTTCTGTGACGTTATGCTAGTCAATATCCATAACTGTGATACTGTACATTAATTAAGAAATATACCAGTTAGCCTTTTACTAACCTACTAGATGTACGGAGTATCTGGTGTTAACTTTAGGTATATATATATATATATATATATACGATACATTTCTGCCTAATCGCACACATTTATGTGGATGTACGCCATTAACCCCGTTCATTCTTACTACCAATAAAACACTAGTGATGATAAATTAACAGAAAAATCATATTCTAACGGCGAATATCAACATTAATCAAACCCTTTAACCAATAACTTACCTACTTACTTTTTTATTCGCTCAATCCAATCTTAAATACGCCTAACCCTTCAAATACAATTTTTTTGACTACCCCTATGCATGCTTATCCATATGCATTAACCAACCTGCTGTTTACAAAAGTGTATTACAACCCGTCCCCTTCTGAAGTGTTTCCTCAGCCCCTTGTGCCTTCCCTTCTGTCTTTCTGTCATTCCGATTTCAGAGCAATCTGCCGACCCCTATTATCAGACCGTGATCGGTCCGCGCGCACCCCTTGAGACCGATCACCCCAGTGCCCTTGCAATCGACCCCCCTAAGTGTCTACCTTTGAGCAACCGTTACCCCGACCTGCTGACCTCGTCAAATCTAGTACAATTTGAGGACGATCTCGGAAGCTCGACATCGACTCTTCATTCGGCTGCTGACATGGAGTCCAACTGTTCAGCATCGCCCATGATCCGCCGGTTACAGGCGCATATCCGGGCCAGAGCGTCTTTCAGAATGGCGTGTGCGGCTCCTCTGTCCTGCAGCTCGGAAGATGATCGGGACGCGACACTCACTAGAGAAACAACGCCTCCGCCACAGCTGGGCGCTAGTCAGGAGAAAATTCTACCAGAGGACTATCAACTGGTATTCATTACTTCATCGGAGTCGTTCTCCGATCTGAGTGATTATGATGAGCAGGGCCGAAAAAAGCGACGTAAAAAGAAAAAACGCAGCACTCTAAAGGTAAAGAGTCGCTTAGAGATCGGTTCTGGGGCATATTACATTGAGGATTCGGAGTGGGAGTTTACCTCAGATTCTGATTATCGTATGGCTGCATCGCTTTGCTCTTTAGACGAGATATCCGATGTTGAGGAAAATATTAGGGAGAAGGCGAAGATCATTGAGCAGAAATCTGCCTCCCTTGAAGACTTGCCTAGCCTATTTACTAGAACGGGCAGTGTCCGTTTGAAGCGGAACAATAGTGTTTGTAGGTCGACACGAAGGTCGATGCGGTTAAAGAACAGTCCGCTCTTGACGAAACAGGAAAGAGCGGACGATAATGGTACGAATGCAGTCGTTATGCGTGAATGCCATAAATGCGGCGGAGTGAGAAGCCGAGCCTCTGTACTGAAGACTGCATATGGGCCGCCAGCTGCAACAACGGCGTCATCGACCGGTACATTTGTGTTTACTGCCACTCCTGCGGTGTCATCCGTTGAATCTGCATTGGAAAATATAACCACCCACCCTGACGGGTCCAAAGATGTCCATTGTCGACAACGACAGCAAGATGACATCGCCAGGCCATTTGATGTCGACTTAGATCTGGTTCAGGACCGTCTTCTCCAACAGCAATCGCCCTCGACTGACGCGATGAGCAGACCCACCACGGTTGTTGCTGGTAATGCTGATGCAGCTGTCACTGCAGATGACACTCTGGAGATTCAACAGCTCTCCCGTTGCGACCACGGCAGTTTATTGACCGACACCGCGACAATCAATACCGTAGACTCTCGTATCCTTCGTGAGGCCTTGGATTTCGCTACCGATACCGAAACCGCGGGATCTGCGCGGCTCAGGCTTGCCACGATTCGCGCTGAGCAACAGCAGCGACAACATTACAACGCGGGTGGTAACGATCTAACAATTTTGGCAAACGTATCTAACGTGAATGGAAATAGTAAAATCAGCAGCAGTGAGATCGACACTACCAGTAATAAAGCGGCTGACGCCGTTAGTGGGATTGGTTGTAGTATGTGTGGTAACAATGCACGGACTTTGGTGACAAATAAGCAACACCGTTCGTCCTCATCGGAAAGTATTGTTGTCTCTGCTGCTGGTGATCGCGATCGTGCTGGTCCTGCCGTGTTGATCGCTTCGACCCAGGCCTGCCCACAGACCAGCGGCGACTTGGGAGAGGCCGTCAGTATCAGCAGCGACTCGGCTATTACCATAACTGCTAATGGAAATGATCACAGCAGCCATAGTAGAAACGATGAGGACGGCACATTTGCGTCGCAGTCCTCGACAGAAACAACAGCAGCGGCGGCGACGACTTCCACGTCTACGGCATTCGGGTCGTATAACGCTCCTGTAATTGTTGGGAGTGGTCACTCGCTCTGTAACAGCCATCCCAGTGAGAGCTTTTCTCAGTCGTGTCAGCCGTCGGTCTCAGAATCCATTTCTTCTAACAGTGGCCCCCTTGCTCTACAGAAAAGCAGCGGTCGTCAAAGTGTCACCGACGTACGCAAGGTTATAGTAATCACTCAGCGACAATTCTGTCCAATAGCAGTCTTCGATAGCAATTGCAATACTAGCGTTAATGATAGTGGTTTTCAAGAGAACACGAACGTCACCAGCGGCTCGCAGCTGTCGACAGCAGAAACGGCACGTGACGCCGAACTGTTAGCGGGTTCATCTTTACCATTGCTGTCATCTGCTGATCGACTTCAACAGAAACGCAGCGTGCCATCGAGTGCAGAGGACCTAGCTAAGACGGAACAGGCGGAGAGCACCGCTGCCGGCTGTAGTCGTAAGCGCAGAAGCGCCAATCATAACGGTGAAGGTGACGCGGACAGCGGCGGCAACCGCATTGATAACGACAACGGCAAAGGCCACCGTTGCAGTAGTGATCGCGGCGTGATACCGTCACAGCCAGCCATGGTTCTACTAGGGACAGCATTGGCCAATTGCGCCGAAGCTGCTGCTGGCGCTAGAGGAGGAGGACGAGGAGAAGGCAGTTTAGCAGCCGCGCATCGCTCCTCGCCTGCAGGCGTCTGCCTCACTCGGGCGCCATGGCCAGATCCGCGCCTAGCTCTCAGTGTGGCCGCTGACTGCGGTGAGGTGCGCTTCCTACCGGCTGGATACGAACGATGTCTTCCAACCACTACTACTAGTAGCGCGTGTGTTTTTGATAATAATCATACAGTTTGTGCTAAAAGTGTTGTAGGTGATGGTGCAATTATTTTTGCAGCTGCTCGTGGTGATCGCCCGCAACAGCAGCAGCAAAAAAAAGATCGATGTAGTAAAGTCTCGTCGTTGGCTGTAGCTCACCGGTGGTGCATCGAATCGCCGAGTAATTGTGCGACTGTGTTAAATAGTAGTGGAGTGGATAATTATATTTGTGAATCCGAGGATTACTGTGGATTATCTACAACGGCAGTCAGGGCTAATGGTAATAATAGCGACGACGATTTCCGTGCACCTACCCCACCTGCGACAGTTGCCACTGTTACTACCGATTTAGATAATTATAACAGTCAAACTCACCAGCAACGCCAAAACAACATTAATAATAATAATCGAGAACAACTATTCCAGCATCGTGAAATTGGTGGCGCCATTGTGGACATTGTTGAGCGCAACGTAAATCAGCTTCAACAACAGCCTCAAGGAATACACAAGTACTTTCCACCTAGGGACGCTCTCTACGAGACTCCGCGAGGAGTCGTTACGTCGTTGGAGAAATACTTCACCGAAGAATTGCTCATACCACAGCAAAATTTCGATTGCTTCGATGACTACGATAGTGATCAGGAGCCGCCTGTGCCTCCGGCTCAGGGTTATCTGATCGAGGAGGAGATCCTGAGCGACGTGTCGAGCTCCTCTGACGACCTGCTTGCTCTGCAACCTGGCCAACAGCCGGTGCAACAGCAGCTGCAACAACTAGCGATGCAAGCGGGGGCCACAATGTATGGCAATCCGCATGCGTTCTCATTACACACCATTGTTGAAGACTCATGTGAAGAGTCGGAACACTCGGCCCCGAGCTCGCCGCAGGTCCAACGACAATCGTCTGAGCTTGAGCAGTATTTCAGCTATGCTATCAACAACGTCACGGAAGATGAGCAAAAGCGGTGGTCCGTAGTCTCGGAAGATTTGAGCGATACCGTGTCAGAGGCTAGCTATGTCTCGGAAGTCACCGAAGAGGACCCATCGTTGTTGGCCAGCTCGCGACTGGAAAAGTACTTTAATAATTTAGTCGGTGGATGCCCTGACACGCTTAGCCTAAAAGATGAGCTCCTAATAGAAGAGGATACGCTGCAAAGTGGCTGCTTCGAGGAAGATACGTATAATACGATTAAGCGGAATAAAAAGACCAGCAAAGAATGCAGCCCATCTAAGGAAATCGGGGAGCAGGATGACCTTGACTCATCACGGGAAGATGGCGATGTTACCGTCATCGAGGTAACCGCCTGCCCGGAGAGAACGCTTTTGCCAAACCCTTTGGCAGAGGCGACATTCGCAGCCAAAAGTCCAGTCGAGATGACAGACGACGTTCTAAAGTGTGAATTGAGTAAGGGAGGCAAAGCGAAGGAAGACAGCAGTGAAGATGACCAAGTGGCCAAAATGGACATCGACGACGACGAAGAAGAAGAAGATGAGGCTGACATGGCAAAGATTGTTGACGTCGTCGAGAAGACACCGTCACCCGAACATCTTGACGAAATCGATAACTTACAGAAGCCTCTGAAGGCTATTCGACTCGCAGAACAGCTGGAGAACATTGCTATCAAAGGCAAAATGAAACATAACGATGCTCAGATCAACACCGGCGAGATGAAAGCATCCGTCAAAGATCGTGTGACCAAAATGAACAACGCGTACGTTGAGCATAAAAACGCCGTCAATAACCAGCCGAAAATTTGGCCGCGCTGTTCACCTCGGAAATCTAGTCCAGACACCGGTAAAAAGGTGTCCTTCAAAAATGAAGACGTACCTGACGAAGAGGTCGCATACGTTGTTAACCGGGTTATCGCACACATCTCGGGATCTCCTGACGTTGATCGGCCAACAGAGAAGGCTAATACACCTGGGTGGAAGTCACTTCTTGAAGATCATATCACATCCCTCATGCAGAGGGTTTCTCCATGCAATAACAATGCAGATAGTACGGTTACATCGAGTAATAACTCGGATTATGGAAGCGACACTCTTGAGTCAGAGGAGTACCCTACTGAAGAAGACAACAATAAGAAAAACAAGGAAGCATCTGATAAAGAAGCTCTTTCCGATGAGACACTTTTCATCTGCAGAAAGCTAATGACCTCATTAAAACAGCTTAGCTCTAAGTCGCCTTCGCCGCCGGTGGTCACAGAGTATGCCAAAGCGCAAGAGTACATTCAGGATCAGATCGTAGCGCTAATGCACACAGTTACAGCATCCCGCAACGGGTCTCCTACTCTGAACTTGAAGGAGCGCAAGAAGCTTCAGGGTTCGCCGAATCTGTCGGAGAAGCAGAGTGAATCCGGTAGCGAAACCGTATCAGCGTCCATCAGCATTCCTTCGTACGATAGTGATGAGACTTCGGCCACAGAGCCTGTCAACAATCAAGAGATGGAAGAGCTTTACAATATGCTATCTGATAATGTGTCCCTGTCAAAATTATCCTGTTGCGATGGTGAGACGGACCACAAAACAATGACTACAGTTAGTGCACCGGTACCTATGCCAAGAACAAAAACGCCTCCAAAGTGTGAACTCTCACCATTGCAGGCTATTCGAATCTCTTCTCCATCGGCAAAATACGATTCTACGTCGACGTTGACAACAGGTTCAGATACAGATTTTGCAGGTTCGATGGAGACAGTCCTTGAGGTGAAGGCCACATCGGATGCTATCTCGCCGGAGCTGGGACCAGAGCTTGATTCCGCTGATATGAGTCGGTCCGAGTCTTCTCTTTATGTCAAAGCCAAGAAATTATCGAATCGAGGAACTGATCACCTAAATAATAAGCTGGCAAAGAGCAAAATAGCTTCAAAGTCGGAGTGCTCAATCGTTGAAACGAAAGACGATGACGCTATAACTGGCAAATCAGTGTCGGAGCATAACCTCTTTGCGACGCCATCGGAAAACGAGAAAAGCCCTGTTAACCCCTCGCAATCCGAGGATAACATTCTCGACACTCAGCGATCCCGAGATACAGGCTATTATTCGTTTAAGAGCTCGGACGAAAGCGTAGAACAACAAAATGCTAGTAGTCCACAGGTCACTGAACAAACATCGGAGCCTGTGAGGCCTGCGCGTAGCGCGAGGCAAACAGGAGGGAAACAGGCGTCACCTTTACCGACAGTTCAGCACGCTTTATCGACACCAAACATTCACGAAGCTTTTGCTAACGGCAAATTCTCTACGCTTCCGCTAAAGCCAAAACGGATGGAAGTTCCTCCAGAAGCTGTCTCAATGACCCTTAAACCCAACAAAGAAAAACACTTTTCATCGTCATTTTTCTCTACGTCGGCTGTATTACGGAAGCTCACCCTCAAAGGTATGTCGTTTCCCATTACGACGTCTAGCCAATTTAAAAGTTATTACGAAATTAAAACAACTTCCACCCACTTTTGCGCTTATATCATTAAATGTTTATTGCTTCTACCCGATCTCCATCAACAAAGCCGTATAACTAGAGGAGCTGGGACTGCGCGCAGCCTGATACGTCGTAGGAATTATGCTTATATAGCTTTGAGTATGTATGTACGTATTTTCTGCTGCCAGCACACGTATGGCTCTTCGGTTGTCTAGATCGAGTAGTACAGACCGTCTCCTAACAACGGCGTCTAGAACCTGCATGTAGACTAAATCTACGTGGATTGTGTGAGCTATTTAATAGTTTGAGCGCTTGTATACATATATATGCTACTCACTTTACGGCGTTGAGGAAGACTTGTTATGTTCAAAGTGATCTCTATCGAAGCACTAGCTATACTTCGTAATTCTACCTAGTTAACAATGTTAAAGCACAGCTTGCCCAGAGTCAGCCCCAGTTTTCGATCTCTTTTTCTGTTTCTTTTTGTCCAAGCTGTCTGCGTTTATTGCCTCTGAACATGATGAGCGACTGATCAGCCTGCAGGTTGTTAGTAAACAACTGGCTACAGACTCGTGCTCATAAGATGCGCTTCTTGCCACTCTTTTTTTAAATGGCGAGCGATTAAAACAACGACAACGTCCAATCTTCCTGTTTGCTGATTCCCGTGCTTGCCTGTAAGTTCAAGAAGAACAGATAGGGATGCGACGGAAGAACGGACGCCAGGAGCAAAAAGTAGCGGTCTGATACAAGCTTCACAGGTTTGTCGTACTAACGACATGGCGTACTCGATGATAGGAAAAGGAGTGAACAGAATTTCTTCTTTTGTGCTTGCTACCACTGCTGCTGGGTACGACGACGACAGCTGCTCTTATAGGGACTGCTGTATACCTTTTAGTCGCCTAGTCAGCTTACCCGTGTCGCCTGTGACGATGTATACGTCGTTTACGTTGTTATTTAGCACGGGAACCCCCTCCTCTTTTTAGCTCGCTTGTTTTGCGTCCGTATGTTTAATTTTTGCTAGCTTGTGTAAGTATCGTATATTCGTGCCTTTTCTAAGTTTTTATGTGCTTTCTCCTGTATCCATTGCCTTCTGTAGATTAGCGACATATGATGATACGACTGTGTCTATAAGGAATGCCTTCCCATAGGACACATACGTCTTCTTATGTGATTGTAGCACTTAAATGTGATGACCATACAAGCTTCTTCACATACGCGCTTGCCGGATAGAAAAATGCCGTCCTCGTATCAGTTGAAGCCCAACCCATTACCGGCTTTGTAGCGCATACTTGTCTGTCTGTTATACATAGACCAACTTTGAGAGCACTCGAACATGCGCTTTTTATTTTCTAGGTCCCTGAAGTGAAAAGGCTGCGATCGCCTTTCGTTTTTGTTATAGAGAATAACAGCAGAATATTAAAGAGCGTGTGTTGTTATTTTTGCTAAAAGAACTAAACAAAGTGCTTACAGTAGCGATAATGTTGCTTGAGGCTCTTGGGTATCAAACAAGGATCTCAGGAGAACCTCAGCGAACTAAAAGAGGAGCCGGATTTGCTGCAACGTATTATTTCGTGTCACAAGATAAGAATTTACGTGCATAAAAAAGCACAATCATCTAAGTATGCGTCAACAGCGGGCTGAGATTCAGAAGAGCTGTAAGATCCATGACAAAAAGCATGCTTCCCCTTGGATTTCTTTTGAACTCTCTGGAAATTCTCTGTGACACATTCATGCTGACTACCTCCATTCTTACTAAAGGCTGTTACGAAAAATTTTAACAGTATTGTCTATTGTTGTTCTCTGAAGTAGGCTTAAACTCTGAAAAGTCAATTTTTCACCACGAAAACGCAGCGTCTCACACATTGCTACTTAAATTACTCGTTTTTTTTTTAGCGGAGAAACTCCGTACCTGTGCTAGACGAACGGTGACAACCCCTTTTTTCTATCATCGCTTGCGGATCTGTATATAGTGGGGGCGCTGACGCGAGCTCGATGAATTCACGAAATCTATTTGATCCGAACTATTAACTAGCAGATTACAACATCTATTTTATTCTAGACTATTACCACTGTTACTACGGTTTCTACTGGCAGTATTTGACATGGTGTGCGAACTTAAATCGTAGTGGTTATGCTGCGATTACCTATAGATTTCCGCCCAGTAATCACCTGTCTCTGATCTCCCTTACGGCTTTCGTCTTAGTTTGCCCCTAGCCCAAGATTCCCAGCGACAACAGTTGTGGTCGTAGTGAGCCCGGCCAGCTGAATTTTGAAAAAGGCCACTCACTGTTCGCCGATCTCTATCCTGTTGCTGTAACATATCCTTGTCATTGGGTTCCCTGTGTTGACTATTCGGTGTACATGGGTAGAAGGAAAAGCCGATGGTTGGAGTATCTCCGCAAATCGTTAGAATTACACTAGATTTTCCCCATATATGTCTCAGCTGGTCATTCACACGGTGTTTGTGTCTACTATTACCACCACCGCATATATAGCATCCACATTCGGGTGTGTAGGTGTCCATAAGGATGATAGTCGCTGGCCTACCAGGGGCGAGAACTAATTGAGGAGTCGATAAATGAAGATAACAAATTTTTAGATGAAGACGGTTTGCAGTATAACACTTGTTACCGTCGTCGGCGGCGCGTAATCCTGTAGTTGCCTTTGCGCTTTGTTGCCTTGCGGCTGCTTCTTTCTTTCTTTCGCAAAAGCGTAATCTTGGTTGACTTCTCTGCTCTTGACTGTTTTTCTTTACGCGGTAGCGGCCGCTAATCGACGTCACGGTAAAAGCCAGTCTTTCTAAATCGCTCGAAGCGTCAAGCCCGAATCGAGGCAACGAACGCTGAATACCGAAGCGGCCGACGATCTTATCGTCAACGCAATAGCACAACCACGGGTAAACTGCTGGAAGGTTAAAAATATGATGAATATTTTGTTTCACCTTACTTCTATATATTCTGTGCTGTAGTCCGATTGTCACTAAGATCGGCTTGCAGACGTTAAACCCACTTTAATTAATAACATTCTACGAATACAACTAGAAATGGGTGTCAGATCTACAAGATAAGCTCGATAAAAGATACATTCATTGATACAAAAAGAACGATTCCAGCTACTTACAAACGCAAATACTAGGCTCTGCAAGAAGAACCTATTCAGAGATATCATAACTGGACAAAAATACTGCGAGAGCAAATGTCAGATTTCAAAATAAATGGCAAATACTGCAATATCTGGATAGAGCAGATATTAGAAATTTTATTGTGACCCACCTGGGCAGGTTCTAAGTGTCGGTCTTTTTTTTTTTCTTTAGCGATTTGAAATAATACATTTCGTTAGCATATCGTGTATGAACCGCTGTCTACAGACACGATAACAGCTTATGTCAAAAAACATTCAACCCATATAAACAGTTTATTAACATTAGGACGAGTCCTATTAAAAAGATCATCCCAGGATGGCTCTCAAACATGAAGCTAGCGTTTCCGTTTGGAAATCATTTCAAGTTTAATATGTCTGAATTTCTAAACCACTTGTATCAGCTGTAAGGCTTCCTTAAGCACTTTTGGCCCCGTCACATTGTTGATGCACGTTATTGTAAAATTTCCTCTGTCGCAGTACTTGATAGCAGACGACAAAAAGATCAACATGATGCTTTTCGTGCCCCATCAAATATGAGAAAGAACGAATTTCAATTATTGAATTAGAGACTAATTCGAATCAAACAAGAGTATAACAATTGTAAAATAATATTTATTCGAAACGTGGTGAATACTCGTTACGTAACGTTTTATCAATAGACTACAACGCCCACCCATTGAAACACTTGATCTTTTTTTCCCGTTGATACATGTACATGTATAACCGCAATATGCCTTAATATTTATAAATTACTTCTTCTGTTCAATCGGTGTTTTCTACGAACCATATTATTGAATGGCTAACGAAAAATGTTATGGTCCGACGACAAAATATTCGAAGTTAGTCAGTGTTAGGTTAGCTATCGAAGATCGACAGCGTGCAGGCTTTTATTGCCAGCACGGGTCGTAAGATGGCTTGTTAGATCTGTACAAACAACCGCAAAGACAAGTGCGCAAATTTGCTAGTTTCCTAGAAGAGTGCCTGGGTCGGTAAACAAAATTTGAAAATCGGCTGTGGCCAAAAGAAGGGGAACTAATACATGCTACACGTAGGTTTTCCTGCGGGTTCATAGAGTTTTATATTTTTTGTTGATAGGGAACAGATTCTTAAATCGCAAATTTATTATCAACAAGCTGATTTATGGTTATTTCCGTTGGGTCCGACTCTAGGATGTTTTCAACCTAAGCATGTGCCTCGTTGCAAAAGGATATAAGTACAGACAACATTTACCTGTGTGACGGGTTCCAGTGGGCACACGACATGGTTCTCCTTCGTCAAGCGCCTCTGGGCACGTGAGTAGCGCTCTCTTTCTGTTTTTCCTACCATTATTATGGTAATCCGACAAATTACGACTTAACGGTAGCTGCAGCTGCAGCTGCAACCGTGCTGCCAATACCAAGAACGAGTGTTTGTGGAGAAACAAGGCGAATGGACCTAAGTAAGCCGATGGTCCTAACGTTGGACAAGGCTTTGCATATACTGAACTGAATCGAATAAGTTCAAGATTCCAGGTTAATTTAGCTTCGAGAAAAACAAAAGAGAAGAGCAGACAAAAAGGTCTAATTCAGATATGCTGAAATGGCTGATGGACAGAAAGATTTAAAGTAGAAGTCGTACTAGCCGCAGTAGCAGCAGCAGCTAGCACCGATGAACAGCCATCTCGGATGGAAGTAGTGATGATGCCGTCGGTTACGGATTTAACGATGTTTATAGTTCAGGACACGAAACACTCTGTCGCCATCGCGACTCACGAAAGTTATAAAAAGAGTTTTTTGGTTCTGTGGCGCCGGAAAACAATGCCCTACTCTTGTGCCGTAAAA